CTTTGCATATAAACATTAAATCTTCCTGTACCATTTTGACATACATGAAATTTTTCTAGAGATGGTCATGCAAGACCAAAACAATAGAATTCTTTATTGTTTTATTCAGAACATGCCAAGAAATGCTCGCAATTTCAGGAAAGCCCATGGGATGATGACAGAGTGGGATGTGGGGATTCCACTCAGCATTTCGTGTTCGTCTGTTTCTGGCACAGTCACCTTCGAGGTGTTTCTACAGACACCGAGCAATGCCAACGATTCATTATCTCTTCAGGAGCGCCCAGGCTGTGAGCACCTCCACGGATTCATTTCACACGGTGTTCTTCTCCTCTGTATGACAGTCAGAGCATAACATAGACTTGTTATAAGTTCAGAGGGGACTAGATTACATCACCAATGTAATTTTTTCAAAGCTCTACAGGGAATACTGTATGTTATCTATATAAAAAGAGGATGCTGGAAACAAGAGTTGAGAACCAATGGTGAAAGTGGATGAGATTTCAGGAACTCAGGGCCTGGCTTAGTTTGCTAGAGCTTCTGTAACAGTTATGCCACAAGTGGGGCAGGGGGAGTTCAAGGACAGACAGACATTCTTTTCCCAGGGTCATGGAGACTGAAACAGCATTCATCCGTTCCTTGTAGGTGGTCCAGGCATTCATTGTTTCCTTGATTTGTAGATAATCCTCAAGTGGTATGTTTCTTCTCTGGCATGGGCTTATCTCTATGGCTAATCTTCTTAAAGTGAAAGAGAGGAAGACCCTCAACTAGGTGGATTGACACTGTGACTGCTGCAATGAGCTCTTGTGTGTCATAAAGCCTGAGAATGGCACAGGATAGAACAGAATTAAGATCTTTTGTTCCTAGGGTCACTATGAATCATGCTTGGCTCAACGTCACCTAACAACAACAACAACAACAACAACCTTCTCAAAAGTGATTGGACTTAGGACCCACCCTACTTGAGTGTGATTGAAGTCACTTAACAATAGACATACATTTTTAAAATTCTATTTCCAAACAGGATTATGTTAAAGACATAGAGGTAAGTATTCCAACATGTATTTTGTTATTGTTAGGTGCCATCAAATGGACTATTCCTTGCAATGCTGTGAACAACAGATCAAAACCTTGCCCTGTCCTATGTCTGTTAGACATCTCCGCTAAGACCAAGCCCATTGCTGCAGTCACTGTGTCAATCTGTTTCATGAAAGATCTTCTTTTTTGCTGACCTTCTGCTTTTACAAGCAGAATGTCTTTTCCAAGGAGTGACCCCCTCCTGACAACATGTCCACCTTTTAGAATCATTGTACCATCCTGGGATGAGAGTGGAACCTCCCCCCAAGGCTTGGTCACAAGTGAGAGAGAAGAAGGACACTGTGGGTCTAAGGGCCATGTTCTTTCCTGCTGGTGATGAAAACACATATAACTGTTTCAGTTACGTTTCATTCTTTTTCAACGGCTTTCCTTTTCTCATGTTGTTCATGTCGTTGTGATGTACCATAAAGTTGGAACTGTCTCATAACTGACCTTGTTTTCATAGATTGTAAATTGCATGGGAGGAAGGTGCCTATCTTTCTAGAGCAGTTGGTAGATTCAAACTGAGTACCTTTGGGTTGGTAGCATAATTCCTTACCCACTAGGCCACTAAAGCTCCCTAAGTAATACACACTTGGTAGCAAAGGAATTCCACACTCCATCAGAGTGTGGAGTCACCTATTCTGCCCACTCTTTATTACAAAGCAGGGACAGACTACTGGCACGAATAATCTAGCGTGTGTTTCTGTGCACATTTATTACGGAATACTCAACCCCATTCATGGAAAATCTTTTTGCTCCCCAGAAAACCCAGCCCATAGTGAATCTACTGCTCAACAATCTGTGTTTACATGACCTAATGTGTTGTAGACACCTCTCCTGGGCCACAGAGAGAACTAAAGTCTTTTTTAAAAAACCTTCTATTTATTTGTGTGAATATGCCTTTATTTATTTGTCTTTTGTTATTGTTACTTTTTATCCCTTATAAAATGAATACATGAATATGGTTAAAAATAGTAAAAGTTAAATGTCTTTAGTCTCCCAAACACTGTAATTTGTGTTTTGATTTTGTGAACTAAACTTCAAAAATACTTTCTCCTGTTTCTCTATTTAATCACTTTGGATAGTATCTAAAGACAACCTCTCATGAAAAGTAGGAAAATTACTAACTTGTTGATTATAAGTTTTCCATGTCCAGGCTAATAGTTATTTAAGTACTGTTACATTATGATAATTGTTGCAACTGATTATAAAAAAAGTGAAATCTAACAACCAGTATTTTAAGTAATAGTATGACAAATAGGGATGTCATGCTTGGGAGGGTGGAGGGACAGCGCAGGAGGAGAAGGCCCTCTATGAGGTGGATTGATTCAGTGACTGTGGTAATCGGGATGGGTGTGTCAGAGACAGTGAGACTGGCACAGGACAGAGTTTAAGGCTGTTGTATATAGGGTCGCTATGAGTTGCAAGCGACTCAACGGCACGTAACAATAACGACGATAAATAGGGGGAAAAAAGATTGACGTTGCCAGCGATCTCATTTTACTTGGATCCACAATCAACACCCACAGAAGCAGTAGTCAAGAAATCAAAAGACGCATTTCTCTGGATACATTTGTGGTCAAGGACTTCTTTAAAGCGCTAAAGAGCAAGGATGAAGTTTAAAGAATACCGTTGAGCCGGATCCAAGCCACAATATTATCAATTACTTCCTCTGTACCTGAAAGTTTAACAATGAATAAAGAAGACCAAAGAAGGATCAACGCTTTTGAATTGTGGTGTTGAGAAAGAGTATTGAATACACTCTGGACTAGCAAAAGAACAAACAAATACATCTTGAAGTACCACCAGGTATTCCTTATGGGTAAGGATGGTGAAACTGCCTTTCACATACTTTGAACCTGCTGTCAGGAGGCATAAGTTCTTAGAAAAAGGCATCCTCCTGGGAGAGGTCAGTGAAAGAAAGACTCTTAACAAGATGAATTTACAGAGTGACTGCAGCAAAGAACGTAAGCGTAGTGGGAGGTTGAGGAAGGCCAAAGACAGGGCAGGGTCTCTATTTGTTGTTCATAGATTTGTTATGATTTGGGGTTGACTCAATGACACCTTACAACAACAGGGACTTTTGATGTGAACATTAGAGCCAGTCGAGAGGAGAGGAAAGGGCCAACGAGGCGATGGAAAGGCCTGGGTTTGAGCCCATGTTTTGCAACTCCAGGGCCAGGACTCTTCAACACTTGATATTGATGTCAGGAAACTAGATCTGAACTTTGGAAGTAAAGTTAACAGCACGGAGCATTGATCGAGGACTCATTTAGAGGAAGAGTCAGTGTTTGAAGGTGTAACGTCGCTGCGTACAGATGGCGTGGGGACTTCTGCACAGCAGATGGGCACACATTAACTTTTCAGAGCTGCACTGTGGAGTCTCTGTTAGGACCAGAGGGATAATCACGTTGACCACAGAAGCCTCAGTTGGTCAGACTGGTCCTGGACCAGGCAGCAAGTGATGGCTGATGCTTAGAAGGCACTACCCATCGACTCAGTCCTCACAATAATTTCCACATACAGATAGAGAGTAAGGCACAGAGGGGTTACATGAGCTATCTAAGATCAACCAGCCAGTTGAACAAGTCATGTATTACATTGGCAAAAGACTACTTTTAAAGTGTTAAAAAACTCCTCCTGTACCAATCAGATCTGATTGGACGGTACATGCACAAAATAATAATAATTTTTTTTAAAAGAAAGTGTTCAAAAGCAAAGGTGTCACGTTGAGGACTATGGCTCATTTGACCCATGCTGTGGTATATTTTCAGTCACCTCGCAGGCATGTAAAACCTGGACAAAAGATAAGGAGGGCCGAGAAGAATGGGTTCATTTGAATTATGATGTTGGTAAGGAGTGCCAATACTACTGCCAACAGCCAGAAGAACATAAATCTATTTTGGAAGAAGGACAGCCAAAATTGTTCTTCGGGGGATTGGAGAGACTTTTGTGTTGTGTCCTTTGGACATACCATAAGGAGGCATCAGTCCCTGGAAAAGGACATCGACATCCTGCTTGGTAAATCGGAGGGCCTGTGATAGAGAGGAAGCCTGTGAATGAGTTGGGTTGACACCGTGACTGTAACAATGGGTGAGAGCATTGTACACAAGGCCACTCTGAATTAGATCAACTCAACAGCACCCAAGAACAGCAACACTCAGCTAGCAAGTGGCAGAGCTGGGATTGGAGCCAAGGCAGGCTGTCTTTGCCCCTGCCCTAGGCGGGGAGGACATCTTTCAGATCTGCTGGGTCTTCATTCTGAAACACAACAGGAACAGTAACTTGTACACACAGGGCTGTTCTGCTCTTCTCTTTTCGGTTTTCCCAAGCGAAGGGCCTGCAGCTTTCTGTAACCTGGTCCGAGACTTAGAACAAAAAAAAATCAGTTCACAATAGGCTTTCACCCTGATGATGGGAAAACGAAACACGAGACCTGTTACCAACCTTCGTAAGAGACAGAAACATTAAGGGGGCAATTCATAATTATTGAACCAATGATGCTATAAAATGTGTGTTTTGAGCCTACACTCAGGAGGAACCAATCCTTGGACGGAGACAGCATGCTGGGAAAGGCAGAGGGTTAGAGAAACCGAAGACTCTATGAGGTGGATTGACACAGTGGCTGCAGTCATGGACTCAAGTGTATCAAGGATCGTGAGGCGAGGCACAGGACAGGCCAAGGTTCTGTTGTTCAAAGGTCATTATGAGGACGCCCGCCAGTAGGGAGCGGGCTGGGAAGACGCGGCGGCGGCAGGAGGAGCGCGAGGTCGCTGTGCGGGCGGCACTGGGGGCTCCCACGGCTGCCAGAGGCCACAGAGGCCTGCGTGAGGGGCCAGAACCGAGCAGCCGAGCAGCCGCGCATCGTCAGCCCCGCCAGCACCGCTGGTGGGTGGAGCAGCAGCAAGCGACAGCCGCCAGAGATGGCTACTCCCCCGTCAGTTTTTGTCCTTGCAATCTGCATCTTAATGATAACAGAATTAATTCTGGCCTCCAAAAGTTACTATGATATCTTAGGTGTGCCAGAATCCGCATCAGAACGCCAAATCAAGAAGGCCTTTCATAAGCTGGCCATGAAATACCAGCCTGACAAAAATAAGAGCCCAGATGCTGAAGCAAAATTCAGAGAGATCGCAGAAGCATATGAAACCCTCTCCGATGCTAATAGACGGAAAGAGTATGATACACTTGGACACAGTGCTTTTAGTGATGGTAAAGGACCGAGAAGTAGTGGAAGTCCTTTCGAGCAATCATTTAACTTCAATTTTGATGACTTATTTAAAGACTTCGGGTTTTTTGGTCAAAACCAAAACACTCGATCCAAGAAACATTTTGAAAATCACTTCCATACCCGTCAGGATGGTTCCAGTAGACAGAGGCATTTCCAGGAGTTTTCTTTTGGAGGTAGACTGTTTGATGACATGTTTGAAGACATGGAGAAAATGTTTTCTTTTAATGGCTTTGACACTACTAATCAGCATACAGTACAGACTGAAAATAGATTCCACGGATCTAGCAAGCA